TAATATATATTATCATTCCATTCTTTGTAACAATTACACTTGTTTCGTATATATCTACCGTTATTACAAAGCGACGATAGGGCAAATTCAACGATAAATGCTAAGTAAAGAAAAGGAAGTGAGCTAGAAAAGTTGAGTGGTACTTGAGTAGTGTCAACTTGATCTCAAGTTGGATATAAAATTACTTGCTCTTCTATGTGATTATGTGTGAACCCATCTAGTTTACTGTCATTGTTAGTGTCAAAAACAAGCAGTGTGATAAAAATTAGCCTATTAATTTTCTCATAGGATAAAATATTGCATTTCTTGCCATGAGCTTATATGAAGCACTGTTAACTTTACAATAGAAATTTGCTTGAGTGAGTGACACTTGATGGATTATAACATGATTTCATTTGATCGTGTGTGAGGTCCTACTCTTTGTGTTATTTATAAGTCTTCAAATTTGTTGAATGCTTGGTTCCATATAAAAATTCGTTAAAGAATTTTAAAATAAAAAAGAAAATTGGTTCTGTGATATTTATGGTCAATGGACAGTTACTAATTGTGGGTTTTTAATATTTTGAAATGCTTTAATTTATTTTATGGATTATTTGAAACTGTAACTGATAAGTTACAATTATTGTCTAACGGTAGTCATTAAATTTGGAATTTTTGACTCATTTAATTACTAATATACGTTTATAACAAGTGGACTCAAATAGTTCAAAAATGTGGTCACGTTTTTGTTAGAGAAGTTTCTGCAGTACTTTAATGATGCTTAGACCACAAGAGTCAGAATATATTGAGTTAAATTTGCATTGCTAAATTAGACTAATTACCGTTGAAGCCCATACAGTGTATCATCATGGTTGTTTTACATCACTTCTGGGAAAGTAATTATTTTTGTTAATTCTATTTGGATTAAGGGAAATATTTGGTTTTGAAATGTGTTATTTTAAATGATGATTTACCATAGAAAGAAATTGTTGATGTGGAGTAGCATGCAATTTTAGACTTAGATAATAGAACATTAATTTAAAACGTCGAAAGTCAAATAATATCTAGTATGTTGGATGGTGAATAATATTTGAATTTCTGAATGCCACAAATATTGATTCTAGGATTTCTTTGAAACATGTAAACTTTATCACCCAATTGAACTGCCAGATAACAAAAAAAGAAAGAAAAGGTTTATCGAAAAACTGGTGTGACTTAAGAGTTGGGCAACATAAATTCAGACTTATTAAGTGCTTGGTAAGAAGTATTGTAGCACCAAATTAGCTTAGTGCACTAACGTGATTTTAGAAACCCAATAAGGAGTGTTATTTATGAATTAAATTTGTTTGCCCAAGCTACAACATCTGACCTATTTTGGTGATTAGAAATTCAACATGCATTTATTCTCTAGTTAGTGAGACTATGTAAAGTTTTTACAAAGTTGAGAGATAGAATATATTCTTGTTGGGTCATGACATGCTATAAGCTACTTCTGCTAGCTTTATTGCTTGATACTAGTATGTTGATGGTATGATTATAACACACAAACTATATGAGTTGGCAATAGAGCAATATGATGCAAATGCTATTTTATGAACTACATGAAGAAATTACTTAGCTTAAATTTTAAATAAAGAGCTAAAGCATTAGTAACTCTCATGAAAAAAAAAATTGGAAATGTGGGTGTATAATTAAAAAGATATCTCTTGGATTCGCAATTTGAATTTTCTTAATGAGATGGTGTCGTTATATGTCCGTTTGTAATGAGAATTGCTATGATCCATTGAGATCTTTATTGACTATGCTGACACTTAAAATCTTCTCAGATAAATACATTTAATGTAGTGTTTATCTTTGATGTTTGAAAGACTGGTCAGGTCAAATATCAAATAGAGGAATTAATAAGGCGTGCACGTCTTAGCGAAACATTCATCTGTGAAGAATGATCATTCTATATTGAAATTATAAGTCTCAACCAAACAAAGTTGACAAATAATTATACTGCTTTCGAGGAAAGCCATGAGACATGAATATATGAAAGATGATTAATTTCATCAATGAACTTTCGAGGAAAGCCAAACTTTTGATAAATGTTATGTCTCAAGAACTGTCGAGGGGGATGGGCCTAAGCTCGCAAAGGAGTCACCTAGGAAGGTAACTCAACTTCTGTGATTGGGGATCCCATGAAAGAAGTTCAATGGATAAAATCAATCCATACTGCGTGACTCATTAGCACTGTTGTTGAGAAAATATCCTAAAAGGAGATATTTTCATGCTCATCCCTATGGTAGAGGTGCATATGTAGTGTGACGGTAAAGAAGAATTTTATCTTGAATGAGACCGAGGCAGGAATACTCCTGCAAGGTATTGTGCACATGTATCCTTGGAGGGCTCACCTAAGTGAGAGTAGTTGTGAGGCCGCGACTATGAAAATTGGGCTATTCTTTAGAAACTCTCATGAGAATCAAGATCAAGTACATGACTATTAATAGCACTGACCTGCAAATCCTGACCAATATCGATACTGTGTGTGATAGTTGAACTTTAGCTCAAAGGGTCTAGTTTAAGCGTTTGGTCACTACGATCCTTCAGGGGGAGACTATCAACACTATGTAAGATTCAAGTTCGAAAGACACCTACAACTATTGCACAGTATAATACTTACTTATATTTTCTATATTAAAATATAAATAAAATATTTGAGATATTTTGAAGTTTAAAAACTTGTGGGGGTTATAAGAATAAAATTAAGTTTTAAAACTTCAATTGAATTTTTATTGAAATTATTTTGAAATTTTCAGTTACAAATTTTTTATCCTATTTATTGTGAATATTCAAGAATAATATTTACTACCTTAAATTTGATTTATTCTGAATATTCAAGAATAGCGTTTAAGTAACTTAAATTTGATTTTATGGCTATTCAAGCCAAATGGTTAAAAATTTGAAGTCACTTTCAAACCCAATGGCTATATAAGCCATCCTAAGCAACTATTCTAAAGACAATTCTCACCCAAGTGTTTATACAAGCAATATAGATATATACAATCATCTTATTTTATTTGTTATTCGATTCGAGTCAGATTCGCCTCTTCTTTTCAGTGGGCGTGACCACTAAGAAGATGTTACTGCGAGTGTCTGAGTTTAATCTTGGAGTCGCTGGTGCTCATCAGTACTCTCACACGGAAGACTCAGCTATTTTAGGACAATATTGACACAACTTTCGGATTCGCAGACCGACTCTTTCTAATTTAAAGTATATATTTTATTCTATTCTAAATTGATTGTTATTTTATATTTATTTGTATATTATTGTTAGTTTGTGATGTAAATATTAACCACCAACCCCACCCACGTGAAGCTCTCTCTGTCTGTGTCTCTGCACTGTTTCACTTAATGGCTCCTCTCTCTTTCTCCCATTGTATCTTCCTATGTGATTTGCTCTTCCTCATCACCTATGTTGCACCTCTTGGTCTCTTCAGATTTTACCGGAGTTGGATGAGAAAATGGCCCTGGCATGAGACTTGGGAACAATTAATCAAAAGGAATGTGGCATATAGTTTTATTGACATGTACTGTACTTGTAAGTTTTTGTTCTCAATTCGATTTCTTCAATATTCTTTTTTTTTCAAAAATTAGATTTTTTCAACATTAGGTCTTGTATTTAGTCTATGTTTTGTATAAGTCAAACGTGAAACCTATGAATATGAACTTGGCATTGGTGAGTTGGATTTGTGATTTATATAGTGCGGAGTTGGGATTGTTTTTAAAAGCTCGGTTTTGGCCGAAGCTTATGGTAAGCTAAGCTTGAACACAAATATAAGCTCAGTGTTTGAACTTGAATTGAGCTTGAACAACCTCCAATAATTCGAGCCGAGCCCAATGAACATACCGAAGTTCATAGGATTCGGTTCAATTAATACCTCTACTCCTTCTCTGCCTTCTGAAGGTGGTTTAAGTTCTCTTCCTCTCTATGTAAAAAAGAAAAGGTAGCTTAATCCGCATTAACGTAATTATATTTTGAAAAAACTGCCTTCACTTGTGAAAATATTTTCCTACCCAAAACGGCAATTGAATAAACAATTACCCTCCCCACTATTTTTTCCCGACAAAAAAAAAAAGATGATTACCAAGGAAATCATCTAGCTTTTACCTAAGAAAATTCTATCTTTTACCTAAGAAAATTTTGCCAACTAAATCTATGTTTCTTGAAAATATTGAACATTTGCAATTACAATAAATAATACCATTCATTTCAACTACCATAACATTAATTTAACCAATCATTTGACGTAGTTAAATACAAAATAACATTATTAAATTTGAAGATTAGGAATGCTATTCTAACCAAACTTTAAGATCATAAATTATGGCTCAAATAATACAAAACCTTTTCAAACCCAACAAATAAGAGAGTCGAGGAATCTCTAATTAGGTATATGAGTTTTGTCACATCATTTTTTGCTGTAGATTTGATTTTTAATTTGGCCACTTTCGGTTTTTATATCTTTTTAATAACTTATGTGTCGCCTATAGTATACTATTAATAAAGGACGAAGAAGAGATTTGGTGTCCACTGTCAAAATGTCTATATTACCCTTTTTAGTTCTCTTACTTACTAATAACTTCAACCACACATGTAGGTTATAACTAGTCTTTTTAGAAGAGTAATGTTGCATAGATCAAATTTTGGGATTAAATTTAAAGTTTAAATGATATGACAGTTGATTATTTAAAATTTTTATTGGGGCGCAAATAATATGACACTAATCAATTAAGTCCAAGTCAACCGTCGTGTTATTTAAATTTTAAATTTAATCCTAAAATTTGATGAATTTATCATTACTGTTTGTATTGAACGGAGATGAATTGCTTCAATCATATAGGGTGAGACCTTCACTTACCGAAAAATAAAAAAATCATACAGGGTGAGATATTCGATGCATCTGTTTACTAGTATATATAAATAAAGATAAGGACTTAACGGGGTCAAACCAAGCAGTTCACGCTTTCATCCATCCATGGCCGAAAAAGGTAAGCTCCACATTGTTATGTTCCCATGGCTGGCTTTTGGCCACATGATTCCATATTTGGAGCTCGCCAAGCTCATAGCTCAAAAGGGTCACAAGATCTCCCTCGTTTCCACCCCTAGAAACATTGATCGTCTCCCAAAACTGCCTCCAAATTTAACACCTTCCATAGATTTCGTGAAGCTTCCATTACCCCATGTCGGTAACCTCCCTGAAAACGCAGAGGCCACCATTGATGTACCTTTCGACAAGGTCAAGTACCTCAAGATCGCCTACGATGGCCTCAAAGAACCCATTACTCACTTCCTCAAAACTTCTTCACCTGACTGGGTGTTCTATGATTTTGTTCCCTTCTGGTTGGGTTCCATCGCAGCTGAACTCAATATTTCTAGAGCTTTCTTCAGTATTTTCACCGCACCTATATTGTCTTTTTTCGGGCCTGTACCAGTTCTAAAGGGTACTCAAGAAGATCGGACGAAATTGGAAGACTTCACCGTCCGACCGAAATGGGTGCCGTTCGAAACAACGGTGGTGTTTCGGCTCTTCGAGATCAAGCGCGTCTTTAACAGCTTCACCGGAGACGATGACGACGTTCCGGACACATATCGTGCAGGAGCAGGCATCGAAGACTGTGAAGTGCTGGTCGTTAGGGGCTGTTCGGAGTTTGAACCGGAATGGTTAAAGCTTCTTGAAGAAATCCACGGCAAACCGGTTATTCCGGTGGGTCAGCTGCCCACCACGGTTTTTGACGGCGGCGATGACGACACGGACGATGCATGGAGAGGAATGAAGGAGTGGCTCGACAAGCAAGTGAAAGGATCGGTAGTTTATGTAGCATTTGGAAGCGAGGCGAAACCGAGTCAAGCCGAACTCACTGAGATTGCTCTTGGGTTGGAGCTATCCGGGTTACCATTCTTCTGGGTTTTGAGAAAGCAACGAGGTTCAGCAGATACCGAGTTGATCGATTTACCAGAAGGGTTTGAAGAGAGAACGAAAGATCGTGGGTGGGTTTGCACGAGTTGGGCGCCTCAACTGAAGATACTGAGTCATGACTCAGTTGGTGGGTTCTTGACTCACTCGGGTTGGAGTTCAGTGGTGGAGGCCATACAGTTCGAGAGAGCTCTGATTTTGTTGACTTTTTTGGCGGATCAGGGGTTGAATGCTAGGGTTCTGGAGGAAAAGAAGATGGCGTATTCGATACCTAGGAATGAGACGGATGGGTCGTTCACTAGGAACACAGTGGCCGAGTCACTGAGTTTGGTGATGGTGGGGGAAGAAGGGAAAGTATACAGGGAAAAAGTCAAGGAGATGAGGGAATTGTTTGTGGGCAGAGACAGACAGGATGGGTATGTGGACAACCTATTGGGTTATCTTCGAAGTCATAGAAGGCTTAAGCTGGAAGACCAATCAAATGGTGGACAGAGAAACTAATTTGGGAGGGGGCAATATTGGCTGTAAGAGTGAAAATCAACTCACGTGTCGTTCACAACCAATTGATTTCATGTCATATTCTTGCCCATGTTATTTTGACAGTATTTGGACCAAAGGAAGAGTTTGTGATGAGATGTTTATCGGGTCATGTCATGTTATTTTAATTTATATTATATGAAAATTGTATTGCAGGGTTTTGTATTATTTGTGCGAGTAAAAATTTCCTTGTTGCAGAACGTCGTCAATAGATTAAGAAATAAAATATAATTTAAAATATTTATTTTTCTTTAAAAATACCAAGGAAATGAATTCTTTGGGTCTAACAATAATTCTATCAATTTATTATTTATATTAAAAAATCATGTTATTTCTATTTGTGTCGTAACATATTGGTGGAGTGTTTGTGAAAATAAAAAAGTTGTCATCCGCAATTTAGGGTTGTAAATTATACTGGATGCACGTTCACTAAATGTCTAGCTCCAAACATAGTACGTAGTAAGTGTCTAAAAGTTGGTTAATATGTTGCAACACGACTTTGACTATGGTTTTGAAGAAATAATTTGGGTACTGTACTTCTAATTTTTATCATTTTAATGGATAATTTTACAATTTTTATGGGTCAATTTATAGCCCAAAAATTTATTATTTTTATAGGTGAGTTATAACTTTTGTAGATATTATTATTATTATTATGTGTGTTTTTATAACATTTATAAATATTTTTACTATTGTTATGGTAACTAATTTTATCATTTTTTGAGATATCACAACAGTGATAAAAAAAAACTCACAAATACTGTAAAAATAACAACAACGAAAGGACAAAAAAAAATTTCAATCTATAATCTCTACAAAAAAAAAAAAAAAACACATTATCATTTTTGAGCAAGGGAATAGATAGCAATTGAAAAGTTTCACTAAGAGTGTGTCGTCGTAGTTGTGACAATAAAAAAAAATAAATGAAAGGGTTTTGGTAACTAAAAGTTAAGGGTAAAAATTTAAATATAATGGCACTGGGACTTTATTGATGATGGTGTTAATTGAGCGGATTGAGCAGAATGTATAAACTACATAAACCAGTCGGGATCTAAGTGTTTCAAAGTTGGGATGACTTGCACAGTGAATGTATAGTGGTTCATCGAGCTTGGGAGATCGTGTAGTCCACTCTCAAATGGAGTCTTTTGCCTCTCGGATCTTTATTGATGGCTGTTATAAATTACAAAGTGATTCTCATACAATCGGGGTTCCTGCCCCTCGATGGAGGCACTGTCTAGTATTTATAATCTGATTCGTATCTCTAAGGGATTTGCAGTGAGATCCCTACCCTACAGCTGCCGGGTTTCTCTTTATTTTGGGAGAGGATCTTGGGTGGTTGAGAGTTTCGTGCCTTAATCCCTGTCTTCCGTTGTTTTAAAGATGCCTCCTGTTAGTCAACTGTTCCCTTCTTATCTCTTTTACTCTTTCATTCGAATGGAGCTCGAGGTTTGGGCCTATGAGCTCTGGGTTCTATATCTGACCTCATTTTTCGAGCTCATACTTAGTTCAAACCTTTTCAATGTATCATCAGTTGCCCCTAGCCCTTGGTTCAATCGGACTTGGATAAGGGTTGAACTAAGGCTGATTTGATGTAGACCTCCACCTGGTGGCCTTGGTATGCTGGCAAATAGATTTTTGACGGTTACATGTAATCATTTTCTCAATCGTTTTTTGCGCACGTTCTCCACTTTAAAGTCCCACATATTGTTAGCTTTAAATGCCTTTGGATTGATGGGAAATGGCTCTCATTTCACTCTTCAAATTCTCTCTCCAGGCTTTTCCCTCTTCCTTGCATCCCTTGATTCCTCAATGTGCCGGTGATCTTAGGGTTTCGCAGAAAATCGATTCCCCCTGATTCGACTTGAGGTTTCAACGGAATCTGCTCTTCATCTTTGTCTTGAGCTTTGGCCCACCGTTCATCCTTACCTAGATACGCTTCTTGTCCTTTGTTCATCTCTTGGATCTGGATCCTTCGAATCTGAGGTGGTTTTTGTATTTTTGGACTTTTCGATTATGTTATTTTAGGAACCGAGGTCGCTCCTTGTCTCATATTCCCCTATTTCTGAACCTTTATTCTACTGTTAGGATTTTTGTCATCGGTTGCTGGTGTCTTGACCCCTTGATCCTTAGAGAGTATTTCTCAGAAATTCCTCCTCTTTCCAGGTCTATTAAACTTCCTTACTCTTGCCCAGCTATGTCTGTTTCTTCTGAAGCCATAGGCTCTTCTATTTCTCTCATGGGAGACAGGTCTCCCGAAGCAGAGGATACTGATTTAGGAGACGTGGTAGAGGAGATTGATAGCTTTTCTGGTGTCGATTCTGTCGACATTGAGGAAAATGTTGAGGAGCTATCCTTTTCGTCCTCCCCAATGCCAAAAAAACCCAGTAAATGTAAAGCCAATGTGAGTGGCATAGGGATCTTAGGTAGTGCTGAGGGCATAGGGGTTGCCTCCAGAGATGTAGAGCTCGTAGGTGCCAGTGAGGTCTCTCCTCCTCAAATGAAAGTCCTACCTGCTCGTTTTGGTTTTTCCCCAGGTGTACAAGTTTGGTGCCCAGGTGAATTTACTCGATATGATTCTAAGGTCTCGGAGAAGACTTGCTTCTTCGTAGCTTCTCTCGAGAACAGGCTCAGGTTCTCTGTGCATCCCTTTATCAAGTCCATCCTCCAGCACTTTAATAACTGCCCTGCTCAAATCTCTTTTAACTTTTAGGGGGTTTTGGTGGGTCTTCTGGTCTTTTTTAAGAAAAAGAAAATTGGCACCCTTATTATTCCACTGCTAATGAAATTCTTCAATGTCAAATTCAATCCGGACGATTTTTTGTCCATCTCCAAATGGGTTGAATAGCCCAGCTTTGATCACTGACCTGCCCAACTCTCATAAGAACTGGAAGAAAAAGTTCTTCTTTGTGTCGGGCAAGGCATGGGAATTTAACCCCAGTGATGCCACTGATTCTCTTCTAGCCTACACTCCTGGACAGGTCCAGATAATCTGGGTAAGTTTAAGATTTTGAGAAAGGCCCCCTTCTTTTCCTCTTGTTGTTAGATGCTGAGCTTGTTTCCTTGGTTGTCCCAGGTATTCGTCCTAAGCTAGGAGCAGAGGACAGGAGTGTTCTGCTCTCCTTTAGAGATTGGAAATCAGAGAGGTACTCCACTCTAATCGACCATTCTGAGCTCACTAGACTAGGGTTTAGCCCTCCTGAGGTGAGGATTAAGGCTCCTATTCCCATCTCCGTTGTCAATGCCAAGGGGTTATCAGGTAATGCTTTCTCTGCCTGTTTATGTTTTTAGCTCTCCCTCATTTTCTCCCTTTTTTTTGCTGGCTCATTCTGTGTTTCCAGGTTCTTATTCAATGAAGCCTACTCAAGAAGCACTCCAAGCCAAGGTTGCTTTCCTGAAGAAAAATAGGAGTGGAAGCAAGCACAGAGCGGAGGTTGGTTTGGTAGTGATCTCGTTCCTCAAGCCAAGGTGCCAAGATTGGGGTTGTCCCTACTTCTCCAGCTTTAACTTAAGTGGCTCTTACTCCTCCATCAAGCTCTTTGCAGGTTGTGGAGACCTCTTCTCTCCATGAGACCCCACCTGCTATCAGGAAGATTTCTGAGCAAGATCTGATCTTTCCTTCTTTTGCTGAGGTCGAGAGGGCTTTGGAGACAATCTCTCATGTTTAGCCCGTTCTGACCTCTTCTGGGCCATCAGAAATTTTTTTGCAGCCGCCTCAAATGAGCTCCAAGACTGAGAAAGGGAAGTACATCAAGGAAGACAAAAATTATGGCTCTTTCTTCGACAATGTTGAGCTCGCTGCCGATGCCTTTGACTCCATCATTCCTATTGCCGATGTTCGGAGGGTTGCTGTTATGCCCCTTGAAATTTTCATTAGTTCAGCACTTCATGGGGCTGCTGCCGTAAGGTCCTTTCCTCTTTAGCTCTCACTTTCACCTTAGGCCACCATTTTATGCTAACTTTCATCTCTGGTTGCATTTGTTTTCACCTAGTGATTCATGTGAAGGGTTTGTTAAGTTGAATTCGAGATTTGGAGTGCTCTACCAAAGCGTCAAAGGAGTTCGAGCTCAAAGCTATCATTCTGGCTTTCGCTAATAATGACCTCCAAACCCAAATCCAAGATCATCAGGTGTAGGTAGAAAGACAAGCTTCTACTATTAAAGATTTGGAGGTGAATGAAGAGAGGATCAAAGAGGACCTTAGGCTTAAGACTGACGTTTGGGCCAATGCCTGCCGGGAGACATTTGAGGCTCTAGGCTCTTATAGAAGTATGAAAAAAGAATACGACATCTTGGCTGAGATGAGTGATACTAAGTGAGCTTGGGGTGCAGCTCGGGGTGCAGAGGTCCATGGTGAAGGAGAAGGATGACCTTGTCGTCAAGTTGATGGATGACGTTACGACTAAGTGGGAATCCGAATGGCTTGCTTTCCAGGACCGAGCTGAAGAAGCTTATCTTGGTCTGAACTTTGACTTTGACATCCCAGCCTAAGAGGAGGCGGAGGAGATTAATGTAGAGGACACAGATGGGACTTTGGCCCCTTTTGCTCCTGAGATTGTTCTTGGTGGTGCTATGACGTCTAACCCTCCTGCCGAGGTCTCGGCTCAAGATGCTCTTTCTTCATTAGTTATTCCTACAGCTCCTGCCTCAGAAGCCGCTTCTGTACTTGTAGCTACGGAGCTTCCTGTTGTTCCTTCTATTGTCCCTGCTGCTACTTCTTTCTCTGCTGAGCTTGTGAATAGAGCTCTAAATCTGCCAACAGCCAGAGCTGAGGTTCTTGCTTCTGGGCTCCATGAGGATTCTCTTCTTGCCTACTTTGGGACCTTTGAGAGCTTCAACTACTGAGCTTCTAAGCTCTTCTTTTGCCCCTGCTGCTAGGACTTCAGCCATTGAACAACTAGACTCTTCTTCTCAGACTTAGAGTTTTTTTTTTACTTTTGAACTTATGTTGGGAAACGTGCATGCACA